ATCAAACAACATTAATTGGATCAAAGTGCAGGTATATTAATTTCCACTATTTTGCTTATAATATTTACGCTATTTGATAAAACAATACAACTATATATTCTTATTTGTTTTTCTATGTAGTGTCCTCAACAGCAAAACGGTATAGATTGCGGATACTTCGTTATGCGGTTTATCAAAGAAATCATTCAACTGAATCAAATAGAGATTCCAGTCACGGTATGAATTTATAACTTAGAATTTGTTTTATTATTTCTCGGATATTCCATATAATTTTTTACTTTTAACTAAATCATGCATATTATGTTTTCTTATGTAGTACTTCGATGAGTACAAATGTGCATATTACACGAAACTTCAGTTGGAAGAAACCAAAGAGGAGTTGTGTCAATATTTTATTTAGCAGAGAATAATATAAGGACTGATTTAGTTGTTGTTAGGGTTGATTTTGTAAGACTGATTTTGAGTTAGAATACTGATAACAATGGTTTATATATAATTTGAGATACAAACATAATTTATGATTGATTTTGAGCAATGATAGTTTCTTGTTTATGGTTTCTTGTGTTATACTTGTGTACTAAAGTAGTTGATAGAATAAAATGAATTTAGTGAAAAGTATTGAGTATTGGTTTTGTTATATTGAGTATTGGTTTTGACTCAGAAACCGTAAACCATGGATAAGACATGGATGTATTCCAATCGATTGTCGAAAGAGTACGAGAACGGGGTATCGGAATTACAATGCATTACCGCTATTTATGAATTACAGGTTATGGCAAACAATGCAGGTATATGAATTATATAAATAATACCTCTAAAAAAACACCCTATGAAAGCGCTTTTTGGAGAAAAGCGCTTTCATAGGTAGACCTATGACAGCGCTTTTTCACATAAAGCGCTTTCATAGGTAGACCTATGACATCGCTTTTCCAAGAAAAAGCGCTGCTAAAAGACAACCTATGAAAGCTTTTTTCCAAAAAAAGCGCCACCAATGAAAGCGCTTTTTCATAAAAAAGCGCTGCCAAAAGCCTACTTAAGAGAGCGTTTTTTCATAAAAAAGCGCTGCCAAAAGCCTACTTAAGAGAGCGCTTTTTAAAAAAAGCGCTGCCATAAGGGTACTAAAGAGAGCGCTTTAAAGAAAAAGCGCTGCCATAAGGGTACTTAAGAGAGCGCTTTTTAGAAAAAGCGCTGTCATAAGTAGACCTATGAGAGCGCTTTTCATTAAACAAAAAGCGCTGCTAAAACCTTTAGCAGCGCCACCTTAGAAAGCGCTTTTAAGCGCTTTTAAAGGCCAAAAAAAGCGCTTTCGTAGGTCTTTTTTGGTGTAGTGATACATATATATATATATATATATATATATATATATATATATATATATATATATATATATATATATATATATATATATATATATATATATATATATATATATATATATATATATATATATATATATATATATATATATATATATATATATATATATATATATATATATATATATATAAAATATAAATTAATTTTATTCTGTCAATCAATTACGACTATGCATTAGGATATATGATTTTTTAATTTTAATTTTTGTAATGACATGATACATATCAGAACTCTATTAAACCATTGCATATTTATTAAACTAAATTAAAACTATTAATTAGAAATATTAAAAATATATTAAAATATAAAAGTTAAAAATGCATTTAAAATTTAAAAAGAAAATTTATTTTGAGACAAATAATTTTTATAAATTTTATATTTATTTTAGAGAAGGATGGAGTAGTAGTTATTTTTGAAAGGAAAACGTTGAAAAAAAGTAAACAACAATATGGTGCTAAGAACACTTAATTAAAACTTAAACTTTTAAAATATCTTTGTAATTTATAAAAATGAATAAAATACCTCAACGGTCAGGAGAGAGAGAGAGAGAGCACACGTAAAGGAAATAAGAGAATGAAGAACTAGCAAAAGAGAATGAATGATGAATGTCGTATTGATACTTTAAAATAGTGATTAGTATCTACTATCAATATAAGAAAATTGATTGTTGATTTAATTACATTTCTATCTTAATCTTAAGTCATTTTTCTTGGACCTAATTGTCATTTGCATCCCCAAATATTCTCATTAAATAATAAACAATAATTATGGTCTATTGCAATAATTACATTACTTGTATCAACAATTTTTTAGAAAATTCAATTCACACGTTAACTATTTGGTTTTCCAAAAATTTCTATGGCTTTTGGTATTTCCTTCACACATAATCCAACATATTCATTTATTCTAACCATGTTTTATGGATTTTTTATTTTCCTCACACGTTAAAATACAGACTTTTTGAATTCTGACGTATTACAATATAAACCATAACTATTTTGCCTACATAGTGTCACAGTTACATCCTTCACCAAGTATACCGTAGACGTTACATTTTCTTAGTTCTTCTTCCTAAATCTATATTTCAGTCGAAAAACACATGCATGTCCTAACAAGTTTTATTTTAATTTCGTAATATTTATGAGGCAATATCGCACAAAATCGATTTCATGGGTGATATCAGTGATTCGAAAGAAACATGGCATCTTGTTGTTCGTATTTTTTATCTATAGAGTGTCGTTAATAGAAAGGGTATATAACACCTTGAGATGGTTGTTGTGGATGCCAAGGTCTGATGTATTTTAGTTTATTACTCCTCTTTAGTGTTCTCACTTTTGTCACATTCATTTAACATGTTATATTTCGTTGTTTCAATTCCAGGGTGATCGAATTCAAGTCTTGGTTCAAAATGACCATACCACAAAGTGGAAACAATTATTGAAAGAAGATATGACTTGCATCATAAATAATGGTAATGTTTACGACAATGATTTTCAATAGAAGGTTTGTGATCACCTGAAGAAGTTTGTTTTCTTAAGTGGTAAAACTCTAAAACCAATTGAACTTGCCAATATTCCTCCTAATAAGCTCTTCTTCAAATATTTTTTGATATCCTTAAAGGCGATTGTAAAGTGGACGGACTTGAAGGTATTTGGTATATTTAAAAGTGGACAGACTTAAAGTGGACATATTATATGCGGTATTGATGTATTTTACGTACAAATGTAGGAGATGAGAAGGAGTATTTAAGTTCTAATTCTGTTGATAGAACACATGTTGATGCCAATGAAGCATTTGATGTATTGACTAATGAATTTTTGAATACACTTACAGCACTTTGTCTTCCACATCACATGATTAAATTAAAAGTTGGTACACCAATAATGCTTCTAAAAAATATTAAACAATCTGAAGGATTATGAAACAATACAAGACTTATTATTACCAGATTGGCATACCATGTTATTGAAACAAAGATTAAACATCGGAAGTTTAACTTACATTCCAAGAATGAATATCATTCCTACACAGCCCCCATGGACTTTTAAGCTAACAAAAAGGGAGATTCTAATAAATGTCTCTTATGTTATGACAATTAACAAATCTAAAGGTCAGTCGTTGGACTATGTCAGATTATATTTTCCTAGGAGTGTCTTTAGCCATGGCCAATTGTATGTTGAAATATCAAGAGTAAAAATTCAAAAGGACCTTAAGATATTAATCCACGAGAAGGAAAATGAAGAGTTGCACACTACCACCAATGTTGTCTTCAAAGAAGTCTTTGAAAATGTGCAATATGGAACTTACAAAGTATTTGTTTTGTTATTGTTTTAATGCATTGTTTTTTTTACTTATCTGCAAATTAGATTGATTTCGACTTGTTCGATTTTATCGTTTGTCAACAATTTTTTATAAAGTAAGAAAGTAATAAAACAATTTGGTAAGCATAACACTAAAACATAAGCGTACATTAATATGAAAACATTCATGAGTACATAACATCATAGAGAATTTGAGTTCTTAAAACTAATACAGACCATATAACCCACATGTAATCATGAGTGTTCTTCAACACACGTTGCAACATAAATGCCAAGAATAACTTGATTACATAACTTATAAGTTGATACATTAAAATAGAAACGGAACCGCAACTTGATTACATATCATCATCTTTCAGAACCGCAACTTAATATATATATGCACCAGCGACAATTTCTCCACATCAACATTTCACCAAATTCACAATCATCACATTGGAAAAGGGAGTCATGCTAAACAACAACAGATCTCCTGATTTAAGCGTATTCTCTCTTGCATATTCATACCATTTGTGTCCAATTTTTATCTCAAAGTTATCCCTTCTAACCCTACGAATTACACACTTATAACCTTTGTCAGATTCCAGATCTACCATCTTAATTGAATCTTTCTCTTTACCGAATTACATGTAAAAAGACTTCAAATTTGGAGACAAAAGAAGACTACGACTTCAAAGCAAAATAAGATGTTAACAAATAGTTATTTCACAATCTTTTAATTATTAGTCAATTCAATTCTCATGTTTAAAAAAACAGTTGTTGAGAAAAGGTAATCTCATATCTAACACAAGATTATAGTTTCAACAATTACACAATAATATTTTTGTTTTAAAAAATACAATGTGAAGGAATTGTACGGAGAACAGTATGGACTCGAAATGATTTTTATAATGTAATATATTGTCTAAAATTATTTCAAATGATTTCAAATGATTTTTCATAAAAATTATTTTTGAAATATATATAGAATTAGGATTTCAGCTATGTTTTATTTTTAATAATAAATATATTTATGTTATTGAATGTCAAATTAATCTTTCAATTTAAAAAAAATGAATATGAAATAATTTATAATATTTTATAAAATGATTTTACAAATACAAAAAAGAAATTATTTTTTTTAAAGTTAAAACAAACGAAATCGTACGGTTGGAATCCCAACATTTTCACACAAGGCTATTCTAGAAGAAAATCTTGCAGCTCTCAAAGCTATAAATAGGGTGTACTAAAGCAACCACATAAAGCATAAAAAATCTTTCTAACCTCTAAGTTTATTATTTTACTTTTTTCCAGAATAATATTATGGCTAGCCTAGTGAGATCACTTCTTCACAAATCACAATGGAAGTGGAAATGAACATAACCCTTTAACAATGTTGAACACATTTTGGAAGAGATTTATTCAACACATGTCCATAGTGACACCAAGTTTGATGCTGAATCACTTTTCAACATAGCTGGAAACATCCTTACACGTTCAACACATATTGTTGATAACTTTCTGCAAGTATGCATATATAAATACCTTAATTTTTTTAAGAAAAACATGAAGGAACGCAGAAAAAACCTATGAATAAAACATTATTACATTGTATTTTTGTTATTATTTATGCATTTTGTTTTTTTATATAGGGACATCATGGAGCTCTGGAGCACTTAGATAGCATTAATCCACAAGCTGGCTTCACTTCACCGTTGTGTACTTTGAAGCAAATTAATTTTGAGGTCTATGTTTAATTTATTTCATTTTCATATGCTAAAATAAGCATTTCACCGAAATAAATTATAAGTAAGAAGGTACTAATATTATATGGTGGCAGATTGTTATAATTCTACTTGATGATAGTGTAAAACTAGTTTGTACAGGTAGTTGTTGGCTCTTGAATTCGACACTTATTATATATTGGTCCCATAGACCAAAAATAGAATAGATAAAGCCAAGCTGGAAAATGCTTCGACGGATGGAAAAAATTTAGAGAAAATATTTGAGTTACAAATTGGTCTTCGATCAGACATCACCATCAAGCCTTCGACGGGAAAGATTCTGTGACCTTCGACTAGAAGAACAAATATTCGTGTCAGCACCAAAGACGAAGGATATTTGAATTTGAAGATTGGAGGGAAATGCAGTTCGCCAGCAGTTAAGGGAAAGCGACGTGGCAGGAAGATAGAGGTCAGGTCGAGGGACATGCAGAAGACACTTGTCTTCATCCTAGAGCAAAGCCACCCTCGACAGTTACATAATTTTAGTATAAAAATAGGGAGTTTGTGTAGAGTTTCCAGGTGTTCAACCTATTGTGCTAGTTACTCAATATTATTCAAGTACCCGCTGTGTGTGAAAGAATAACTGAGAATGTACGTTGGAAACACCATTTTTTTATTAATAAAGTCTTTTTACATTGCTTTGATCTTCTGTTGCAAAGTTTACATTTCCTACATCTTTACCTGCACTTCTAGTTACTTTCTTACTTTCCAAAACCATAAACACCATATCCTTGGTCGAACGTGCGCTCTTCCTAGATATTAATTTTCACATCAAACCAGCATAAAAATTAACATAGATTCTGGGATCAATCTGATCGATCCCGCGAATAACCAAAAGGACTTTCCTTTTTGGAGGATCAGCGGTTGTTTACCAAAAACCACGGTAAACAAATTGGCACACCTAGTGGGACCTTGCTAGTTTTTATCATCTGTTGTTCATGTTATTGCTTTCTTTTTATACGTATACAACGTTGCATGTTATTAAGAAGTGGTAGAATAACCAACGAGTGTACTGTTAGGAAGAGAAATAGCGAAAGTAGGATGGCTAATGAGCCAAATTATGGAGAAATACCTCCACCAAACACTACTGGAACAGCGGTTATAACTACCGTTAGAGAAAATATCTCAACTTGTGTTGGTTCAGTATCAATGTTAACCACGAATCAAACAGGACCCTTGCTTTCGTATGTAGGTCCTAGAGGTCCATTAGGAACACCCCCACCAAGGGCAAATCCAGGATCTCGACCGTACGTTCCCCCAGGATTTTCGACAGCCTGGATGGGTCGAGAACAGCCATATGGCATGCCAACCACTGAAATGGCTAGCCTTATGAATGTTGCGTCTATTTTTTTAGAACCTTTGGTGATTGCATCATCACCATTACAGGGATCTGGAGCCAGTATGGCAAATTTGGGTAGAAACCAAATTTTAGGAGGACCATCACATGCAATACCAAGCCTCACAAATGCTTCTACAGCAATTTTGAGGCAACAGATGGACGAAAGCAACCATGTGTTGGCTCCTAAATTCGACACCCTTGTTTGTTATCAATATAGACCATTAATTATGAGTCAAAAGAGTTTCCTACATAAGAAGGCTTCGACCAGCTGATTATGTCGAAGGATCATCAAAGAATGACAAGATACTTGGAGAAATTCTTTTAAGTGAGAATCTTGTTGACTTCGACGTCGAAGGAACCTCTCGACAAAGGTACCTGACGCCCAAGGTCAAACGGTTTGAGATTTGAACTGTTGGAGGGAAAACGGTTCCCAGCAGTTACCAAGTGCAACGTGCCGAGAACAGGAGCGTCGAAGGCTGTGAGCGTGCCATGTGGCGTCATCTCGAAGCAGCGTAACTGCCCAGCGGTTACTTAAGATTTGTTTTAGTATAAATACTAGTTGTTCACGTAGTTTTCGCGTGTGTTCATCATCTTATACAAGTCACTCATTTAGATTCAAGTACCCAGCGTGAGCGAAAGAATCATTGAGAATGTATGTGTGAAACACCATTTAAATTAATCAAAGTCTTTTATATTCAAGCAATTTATCGCTTTTCATTTACTTATCTCCGTCGAAGCCTTTTACTTAACGCTTTTATTTATTCTATCAAGCTTTTCTTCATGCAATTTACTTAAAAGTGTCTTTACTTTACTGGCATTAATCACCATTAGGATTAGTCAAACTCTAGAAAATCAACCATGTCTTAGGATCAATCTGATCGATCCTGCTAGTCACCAAATAAGTAACATTTTGGAAGATCAGCGGTTGTTTACCAATTTCCACGGTAAACAAATTGGCACGCCCAGTGGGACCTTGTGTTGATTTTTACGATTAACCATTTTATATAAAATATCCTCCTTTTTCGAGAGTATTGCATGTTATTGAGAAGTGGTAGAATATACACCAACGAAACCAATACTAGGAGAAGAAGTGAAGAGATGGCGAATCCGCCAAACAGTGGTGAAATCCCACAAACAAACGTGGGAGCAACGGTTATCCCAACCGTAAGTGGTAACCGTTGGTTCAACACCAGCAGTAACGGTTACACAAACGGGGCCATTACCTCCATTTACAGGCCCCAGAATGCCTTTGGGAACTCCCCCACCAAGGGGAAACCAAGGAACTAGGCCATATGTTCCCCCAGGTTTTTCGACAGTCGGTTTAAATCGAGAACCATTCTATGGCATGCCAACTTCTGAATTGGCTAGCCTGACGAATGATGCGTCCACTTTTTCAGACCCTTTAGTGAGCGCCTCTTCGCCACTCCAAGGCTCTGGGGTTGGTATGGCGAACAGGGGTAGGACCCAACTCTTAGGAGGAACGTCCCAAGTAATGAATGGCCTTACGAATGCCTCGACAGCAGTCTTGAGGCAGCAAATGGACGAAAGCAACCACAATATAGTTCAAATGTTGGCACAAACTTTAAGCACAGTGCTAAATCCCCTAATACAAAATACCACCCAGTCGAATCAGCAAATGACAGCGCAAATGACGCGTCTGGCTGACTTTTTTGGGGTACCCCAACCTATTCGACAGCCCTAAAGGGCACAGATAAGGGGAAACCAAGGTGTACTTCTAGAGGAAGAAACCACTATTAATCAAGTCCAGCAGCCTGCCAAAGAAAACCTTAGGGTACGAATGGAACAACCCGGGGTCGAAGAGCCCAGAGTCATAGCCCCGAAAGTAAGGATGGTTAATAGAAACCAAAACGCTGACGAAGTAGTTCAGCAGATCCAATACCAGAATATTAGTTTGGAAAATAACTTGACAGTTGTGATACGGTGGGAGAACTGACTTGTGTTTTGCGTTCGTATTCGCACTTGTGCGGTTGAGCAAGAGTCGCCACCGACTTTTTATTTTATCCTAAAGGAAAGGTTAAAAAAGCACAGCAAAAACCTTTTGAGATATTTCGTGGGTTCGGGGGGTAGATTATGAAAAGGGAAGGTATTAGCACCCTTTTCATCCATGGTTATCCATGGGCTCTTAGTTACTTGGTTTTTTAGATCACTTGCCTTGTTTTTCGATTGCTTTGGAAATGGTGTGTGTGTGGGTGCTTTTTGAAAATGTTTTGGAAAAAGATGCCTTGTCTTAGGCAACTAATGTATTTGACTCGTGTTTGAGTGTTTTACAAAAGTGTGAATCTTTTCGAAAAGATGTTTTCAAATGTTTTTGAGAGTTTGTTTTGAAAGTGTTGTGGATTGTGGTTTTTGAAAAGAAGGCAAGTGTTTTTGCAAGTTTGATCTCAAGTAACTAAGAGTTTTGTCTACCCTATTGTACTCAAAGGTTTTTGTCATGTTTTAACCCTTTTTAACAATTTTGTTCCACCATTGAAATTGATGGACAATCTTGCGTTTAGGAAGTTTATTCGGGACGGGCGCGGGTCATCGTATGGACCATGAATGCAATGATGCCAAGTGTCTTTGGAAATTTGTTTTGAAGGGACTATGATCATTCCGATTAGGCAACACTTTGAGACTTATGATCATTTGATTTGTTTTGCCAAAGATACTCGACGTGCAAGCATGACCCATTTTGGAAGGCAACATGTGGGATTACCCTAGGGGGTGTAAGTGTGATTGTGTATTGATTACATGTATTTATCTTGTATTAGGTTATCTAGCGTTTGATTTTATGTACATACAAACCCTAGGTCTAACCATGGTATAATTGGAAAGCTGTAAATTGCGGAATGTAAAATCTACGCTATTACAAAATAGTGTCCGGGAGTGGGGGTATAAATGTACAGGGGGATGAGACTTATAGTATCCAATAAGTTACAACCAAATCGAATGTCGCAATCAAATGTAAATATCGAATATATAAATATAAGATAAAAATGTGTATAGGGCAATGTGAATGTATTTGTGTAAGTGTAAATGTGAGATGTATTGTGTAAGTGTAAATATGTACAAGTGCGAAATGTGAAGTTGAATCGTATTAGGGTTTGACCTAGAGAAATGTTTTTTGAATGAATCTTTGATTTTGTATGTTTGATTATGTACAAAAAGAAACATTGTTTTAACTTAAATGGTATGTTCAAATTTTAATTAAAAAAAGTATTTTAGTCAAATGTTTGTGAATTTACTATTAGAGAAAATGATGTATTTAAATTGTTATGTACAAATGTATTTTGATTAAAAGAGTTTGAATTTTAATTATGTATGAAAAAAAAAAAAAGATAACATGTACAAGTGTATTTCAATATGTATTAAAAATGTTTTTAAGTTAATTGTATTAAGCATATAAAAAGTGTCTTAATTATTTTTATGTACAAATATCTATCTAAAAAAATGTTTTAACCTTATGATAAAAAAAATGTATTTTTAATTAAGTTAGTATTTTTAGAAAGAATAAAAAAACATTGTTTATGAAATGAAATAAAAAAAAAGGGTTAGTATTTTATAAGAGAAAAAAACAAAAGAAGTGGATATTGTTTATAAAATAAAAGAAAGGGTTAATATTTTACAAGAAATA